ATGCTACCCATGGTTCCCTTAGTGGGAGATCGTGTAATTTTTTTTTCTTATGAGCGAAGCTCCTTAAGCGTGGGCTGAGCGTCCCGTCGTAATCGTATGTAGCCACTTCGCATTAGTTCTTGAACCGGCCGTAGAGGGCGGTACTTGTACATATAACGAGATGCCTGTACGCTGAAAATGCAAATGGTACGATACTAGAGGACGTTACTTGTAGTATGATAAATATTAAAAATCACAGCACATCTATAGAGTGCATGATGAGAAGTGGGGCGAAGCGTGCTTCAGTCCATCCGCGCTTCCGTGTGTTGGTTCGTTCTTGCCTCCGTCCATCTGTGCGTCCGTCCACGCGTCCATTTGTCAGTCCGTGCATCTATCCGTCCGTCCATCCTCTCGTGCGTTCATGCGTGTGTCCATCTGTGCGTCCATCCATGAGTCCGTCCCTGCGTTCATCCATGCGTCCATCCATCCATCCGTCTGTGCGTCCGTTTGTCCATCCGTGCGTCCATCCGTTCCTCCGTGCTTCCGTCCATTCGTGCTTCCGTCCATGTGTAAATCCCTGCATGCATCCATCCGTCCGTTCGTCCGTACGTTCGTCTGTGCGTTAGTCCGTAAAACAAACGGTCAGAACGACAGACAGACGACGGACGGACGCAGCCAGCGGATGATTCATGGTTCGCCGATAAAAAGTTTGATATGCGCAAGGCGGCGGCGGCTAGCGCTCGACGGTGGAACCCCGATGTGCGAGCGCGCGAGAAAATAGGAATGACGTTACACTAAGACGTTGGCGATCGCGTGTTAGTCGGCGGCGCCGTCCGGTAGGGGGCGCGGTGTAGTAAAATAAAGTCGAGATAGCCGAGAGAAAGGCTTTGAGGTGGTGGAAATAAACAGAGAGGTGCATATCTGGAGTGGTTTTCAATGAGACATAATTCACATTGATGGGCGGCTAGGTCATGAGGTGGGTTGGCGACTTGCACGATGCGCAGTAGCTTTTTTTTTTTGGGGGGGGGGGGGGGGGGGGCATGTAAGCCCATCGGGGTGCAGGATAGCTAGTAACGAAGAAAATAACCAGGGAAGCTCTTCGACAGGTGGTAGGGACAGATAGGATTCCAAAGTGGCACCAGCATCTAAGATAGGTAGAGTCCGGGGCAAAAGTAGACGTAGCGACGAGCACCGAGCCAATTCAGACATATAGTACATTAACATGCAGGGTGGCAGGAACAGGCTGAAGTGGGAAGAGATAGAAGAAAAGCTAAAAGAGAAGAGACCGAACAACCTCCTAACAATGCGGACTACGCGTGGGAATATTGTAATACAACAGGAGGCAGCAGAAAGGGGGGTGGTATTAGGGCATTCATTCAAAAAAGTACAGGCTGGCAAAGGGTTAAGCAGGAGTGCAAGGAACATTTATGTCTAAAAGGGAAAGTGGCGGGCAAATGACACTCCTTGGTTTGGTGTACTTGTGAACGGGAGCAAAGGCCAGAGAGGAAAACCAGGCAGTAGCAGAGTGTATATCAAAGGACATTGAGGAGTTAGGAGGAGAGTGCGAGATAATTATACTAGGAGATATGTATGCGCACATAGAAGATACAGATGGATATACCGACCCAACAGGCAAAATGATCATGGATATGTCTGAAAGGCATGATGTGATCATTTGCAACAGTACCGAGAAGTGTGCTGGGCAAATAACATAGGAGGTAGGAACCCTGCAGTCGACGATAGATTACGCACTGATGTCACGTCGTATGTATGATAGGCTCAGGGGAATGCACACACATGAATGTGGCTCAAAGTGTCTGGGTAGTGATCACAAACGTATCAAGCTAAGTTGTGGAAGAGCAGTGAACGTGGGGAGGAAACAAGATGAGCAACTACAGGAAAATTTTTATTCAGAAAGGGAAATAAAAATGGCTAAACAAATCGAGAAAGTAATCACTGAGGATGATAAAACAGTGTGAACATACGCGAATCTAATTAGACTGATTCAGCTAGAGCTTGCTAAGGCATGTGTCAAGTCACCCCGGAAAAGAAGACACAAACCCAAGAGTTGGCGGGAGGAGGAAGTTAAGAGAGTCATAGCAAAACGTCAGGAAGCCTCTAGGGAACACAGACATGCTAAGCAGTGGGGTGAACCGAGAGATGATGTTGAAAGAAAAAGGTAAATCTTTCTAAGCTGTAGAAGGGATGCATCCCTTCTGATCAATGAAAAGATTAGAAGGAAGGGAGCTCAGTGGCTGGCAGAAGTACATAAAAAAGATAGAAAGGCAGCTGCGAAATTTTGAAACCATCTAAACTCCCTAAGAAATGAGACGAGCCTAGAGCAGAGGTTTATAACTACAGCTCAAGGTGCTAGGCTAGAAGGGGACGAAGCTATTGAATATATTAGAACAAGGGGACAGAAAAATTTCAACAAAGAAGTGCCTTATGCACCACAATAGACAAGGATGAATCAACTGGCGCAATGGCTCCATTTTCACAACAAGAGTGGGAAAGGGCTGAGAAAAGGGTTCCTAGTAGTACATCAACAGGCCCAGTTGGCATTCCAATTATGCTGATAAAGACATTAGGTCCGAAGTCTAAGCAGGCTTTGAGAGAGGCAGTGAGCAAAATAATAATCGATTGTGAAGTCCCCAATGGATAGAAACTTAGCAGGATGCGCATGATCTATAAAGGAAAGGGGGACAAAGCTGGCATAAACGACTACCGTCCTATAACAGTGACTTCAGTGGTCTACAGGCTGGCGATGCAGATCATAAAGGAAAGACTGCAGGCATGGATAGAGAATGAAGGGTTGCTGGGGTAACTGCGGAATGGGTTTCGGAAACACAGGAGGTTGGAAGGTAATCTGTTCTCACTGACGCAGTGCATCGAAATGGCAGAAAAAGAACACAAGATCCTGTGGCTAGCATTTTTGTATATCAAGGGAGCGTACGATAGCATGGTTCAAGAGGACTTGTGGGAAATACTGGACACACTAGGTGTGAAAAATGGAGTCACTAATCTTTTAAAGGATATCTATAATGGTGACAAGGCAGTTATAAAGTGGTAAAAACAGATATCCAAGCCTACAGAAGTAAAACGGGGGCTTAGGCAGGGGTGTCCTCTATCACCCTTTTTGTTCATGGCGTACCTACAAGGATTAGCGGCCAAATTAGAGGGAAGTGGACTGGGCTTTAACCTCTCTTTCGTCAAACAAGGAAAACTAATTGAACAGGCACTACCAGCATTGATGTACGCAGATGATATAGTGCTAATGGCGGACAACAAGGAAGATTTGCGGAGATTGATGGACATCTGCAGTAATTAGGGAGATATATTAGATTTCAGATTCAATAGAGAAAAATTAGCAGTCATAATTTTAAATGATAAGGAAGGTAGTTAGCTTAGAATACAGGCGGTTACGGTAGAGATAACAGATAAATACAAATATATGCGTATGTATAAGCAATGGGGCCGAGTACCTAAGGCAATACGAAATATACGTGTCAACTAAAGGTAACAGAAATGCAGTGGTGATAGAAAACAGGGCACAGGGGAATTACAATAGGTATGAGGTTGTGAGAAGAATACGGAAAGAGGTCATGGTTCCTGGTCTGACGTTCGGCAATGCGGTCTTGTGCATGAGATAGAAGTTCCAGCAAGATTAGAAAGCAAGCAACGTGGAATAGGTACGCTTGCATTAGGAGCTCACGGGAATACGCCAAATCAGGGAATGCAAGGTGATATGGGATGCAAATCATTTGAGGGCAAGGAAGCTAGCAGCAAGATAAAATTTGAGAAGCGATTGAGAGAAATGAGGGAGGAGCGTTGGGCTAGGAAGGTATTCAGCCACTTGTACGTGAAGAATGTCGATACAAAATGGAGGAAGCGAACCAGAAAATTGACTGGTAAATACTTAGAAAACATCAGGGGGGCAAACCAAAAAGAATTATCGGTTAAAAAGAAGGTGAAGGAAGCTGAGACCTATTTGTGGAGAATCGGCATCATTAAGGAGTCCGCACTAGAGAGCTATCGAACTTTTAAGGAGGAAATTGGCAAGGAAAAGATCAATCATAATACTCGGGATAGTTCTCTACTGTTTGAGGCCAGGACGGGAGTATTGCGAACCAAGACATATCGGGCCAAATACGAAGGGGTAGACATGGTATGCAGTGCGTGTGTAGAGGAAGAGGAAACTGCCGAACACTTGATAATGTTCTGTAAGGGGCTTCACCCTATAGTTGTGGATGATGGTGTAGAGTTTTCAAAGCACTGAGGTTTTGGGACAGGGAGGGCAAAATAGATTTTAAGCGGGTAGAATTAACCAGAAGGAGGTTATCTGATAGGTGGCAAAAGTCAAGGCACTAGTGAAAATAATTACTTTACTGTAAAGTACGCGTCCTCAACCTCACTATTTAAAGGGGAAAAAATAAATGTAGTTTTTGGTTCACTAACTTTCGGCTTGGTGGCGTTAGCCACCGCCCGACCTAAAGGGTACAGCCATATCGATCCATCCAATCCATCCATCCAAAGCCGTTATGGCGCGCACGTGCATTCAGAAGGTCGGCGGATGGACAAGACTGCAGAGCGGCGTGCGCGCAAGGCGGAGGCGGCTTGCGCTCGAAGACGGAACCCCGATGTGCGAGCGCGCGAGGCAGAAGCGTGCCGTGAAGCGTGCCTCTAAGACGACGGCGTCGCCAATGACACGCGTGCATCACCACATTTGGAGGGCAGTGCCGTCACTCGACGTGAGAGCGGCGTCACCGACAAGATCCCGGCGTGCGGTAATGTTGTTGTTGTTAGTGGTTCATGAGGAAAAGGAAGAAGGCACCTAATTTCTGTCTGCCTACAGGCGACACGGCGCAGTGCCTTGCGATAATGGGACGCCGAAGCGGCGCCGCCGCAGCATGCGGACCCAGCTTCGCTCCTCTCTCCATCATTCACCTCGTGGAGATGCTGTCATATTTTTCGTATGCTCAGGTCATCAGGTGTCAATCCTACTTAAATGCGCCGCTCCTCACCAGACGGTCCCTCGCAGGCGAGCAGGCATAGCTCGTCAATCGTGTACTCGGGACCAGCGAGGGTGCACTCCTTGAGCCCGTACTTAGTGCAGATGGACAACGCACACTCGCCGGCCTGGCACACCTGAGTGCCCTCGTTACAGGGCGTCATGTCAGGCTTCGGTGGTCCCGGCGGGCAGGTAGCGTTGACACCGCTATCGGCACGAGGTAGTTAAGGAAGCCGTCTCTCTTTATAGCACAGACTCACGGGCTATGCGGTAGTACATGATTCACGCTGCATGCAACGTGATTAATGACACAATTTTCAGGGGTTTCACGCCGCAAAAATACAATATCATGATGAAAGACGACGTAGTTAGTAGAGGGCTTCGCAAATTTCGACCACCTGGATATTTTTAACGTGCACCTCAGTATAAGTACACAGGACTTGGGCATTTCCGGCTGTCCGCAATGGTGGATCTGCGGCTGTGGTGCTCTGCTGGTGACCCGAAGGTCTCGCGTTCGATCCCGACTGGGGCGGTCCCATTTCAATGGAGGCGAAATGGTTGAGGCCCGTGAGCTCTACAATGTCAGTGCACGTTAAAGAACACCGGAGGATCAAAATTTTAACGGAGCCCTCCACTGAGGCATCTCTCGTAATCATATGACGATTTTATGACGTTAAATCCACGTATTATTGTGAGTTCCCTTCCGGCTCTATCAAAATGCGGTCGCCGTGGCCGGGATTCAATTTCGTGACCTTCGTGTCAGCATGTGAGCACAATAATCCCAAGAACACCGCGCAAATAGTTGGTTAAAAAGAAATGACATGGAGGACAAACAGCAAGACAGCACAAAACAACTCCGAACATCGAGAAAGCGATTAGCGTTAACTCCCGCATTACGTCATATAACAGACCGTTGGAACTTATTTCACAATTTATGTCGCAATTCTACGTTGGATGACTGACTGATACTAACACTTCGGTATTTTTCTCTCCTTGTCTTTCACTTTTACGAAGTGCGAATCCATTCGCTTAGCACGCACGCACACACACACACACACACACACACACATACACACACACACGCACAAACCATCCTCCCCAGTACATTGTAACTATTAGTTTTGGCCAAACATGTCTACAGCCTTGCATCAATCAGACTTGCTAGCATTGTATAACCAAAGCGCATTGTTACCTGAGCTTATTATCTGCGTTTTCTGTTGTTTTTGTGTGTATTTTTGAACAAACCCCACCAAATATTGTATAACTTCGAGTCCATTTTTTTTTTTCAATGTTATCTTCAATTGCTGTATTTGCTTGTTTCAGTTTTCTTGTTAGCACTGTCCTCTTCAACGTCGCGTAGCGCTGAGGGTTATCGCCCACATGTGCATGCAGTTCTCTAAGAAAGCACTTCGAACACAGGTCTGTAGTAAGGAAACATTTCGGAGGAAGTGGGGGAAACTCACTGAATACTATGGCTATTTTAGAAAAGGTGTATTTTCATTACTTATTGACGGTAACACACCCCCTACACGATAATTTCGGGAGGGGGGAAGGAATGAATCTTTTTGGTTACGAGCCTGTCTCTCCAGGGCACATTAGGGTGACTTCAAGAACATACGCCATCACATTTCAGATGCAGCGGCTTCTGGGGATAAACCTTCTGACATCAATTCCCAACCTTCAATATCCTCGTTGTATACGAAAATGGTAGCCTTGATGACGTCAGTGCGTGCCCTCAACATGCTTGTCACTGATGATCATCTCTATCTTTTTTTTTGTTTTTTTTTTCTTGCTCTTTTTTGATGCGATTCAATGAGCGTAAGGGTACTGATGCTCTTTAAGGTCGTCAAATCCTACCCTCTAAAGACTGGACCATGGCAAGTGAATAAAAAGCCCTCTTTCGTACGAGTTCTTTTTTTTTTTTTGCCAGGTATACGGGTCGACCACATAGAAAGTGAAGACCCGATCAGTATGCATTCAAGCGCGTTAGATGTTCATTCTACTTCATGAGATAAATGTCTCTTATGCAACCTCTAAATAAAGCATCGGTATACAGAATCATAACTTGTCCAATCACATATTAAACGTCAGCTTCTTCTCTGCAGTTTTTCACGCCATTGAGGTCTGCACTACAGATTACGACGCGAACCTGCATAATGTAAGCTTTCAGTGTGATGTCTGCGAGTATTGTGAGTATAAAGGATTTATTTGAAGTGGCTCACGTAATTTGTACCTGAATCCATGCTTTTTCGCGATTCCGATCTCGGCTCACGACAAACAGCAAGAAAACGATGGTGTACTTGTTTCACCGTATATAATTAGGTTGGAGGGGCGAGGACTCTCCCGTGTACAAGCAATTTCTCGTGCGCTCGTCAGGGCAGCAACTTCCGTACGAACAAAGGAATTTTGGTAGAACTCACATAACAGTACCTTAAAATATTCCACGAGTTTCGGCGTATTTTGGTTTTCATTCCCGCGAAAACGGCCGTGATAGGTGCATAACGAGCAGACATGAATTCTTGCGTGCTCGCCCGACATTGAAGACGCCGCGTATGCAGTTAGTAAGTTCCTCAGCATGACGTATGGGGACTTCGGTGTGTTATGTAGCCAAGTTTATGCGAGTGCTGCTAAGCGTAGGGCAATTTCCCGGGCTGCCATTCCGACCCCTTGCCGCAAGCGAAAAACGCTGGTCGGCTCCGCGAAAAGGGGAAACAGAAGACCGCAAGCAGGGAAAGACAGGCGACTCTGTGGTTGTGCCATTGAAGGGAGGAGCCGCCAAAGCCGTTCCCTAGCTTGGGATAAGAGCTGATACGCGACGCGCAGTCGCCTGGTTTCAATGTTGCTGTTTGGCATCCTCGCACACCTTTTGAGTATGCCGAAAAAAAAAAGAATTTGCTTTACGACTGTTTGGTCGGCTGCCACCGAGGGGGTTTTTTGTGTGCAATCGCCCGCGTGTCACAGTTACAGCATTCGGGGCGTTTCGGCACTCTTGCCCCCAGCTGCGCTAATCGTCCGAATGTTCTTAGGCTAACATAGCATCTCACTGCCTCGTACACACGTCGCCAGTGTCCGGAACCTGGAAACGCCACTTCCGGGGAGGGTTTCCCAAAGATATTTGGTGCGTAGGGTGATTGAGCTGGAGCCTCACCTCGGGCGCCGGCGAAAGTCAAGGTGGGAGAGAGTGTGATGTCACGTCTGCAGCGAATCTTGTCTCTTCGCGAGTTGTAGACTGTGACGCGCTTCTCACTGACGTCGTGTCTGTCCTGAAAGTGTTCGCGCTACTGCTTGAGGTGATGTGAACCCTCACGTTCGATTGGCTCGTTGGGGAACCCTGTCTGACCGCAGGTTCGAGAGATGATGTTTAGGATGCGACAGGAGAGTGGAGGTTTGGGTTTGGACCCGGGCCGATGCCCGAGTGCTGCAAATATCCACGCATCTCTACAAAGTAAAGGATGAAGAGTGGGCGAAGCTACGTCCTGTGCTTCATAATGTGGTCGTTGAAGCCGCCGACTAGTTTAAAAGACGCATGCACGAGGTGTTGCTAACCAAAATTTGGAAAATACCCGATCCCACGGCTAAAATCGCCCTACCTCACTCTACACAACTTTTTCTCACTAACCTACGTTTCAGCTTACACCTAGAAGTCACTCCTAATCGCACCACACGGAAAAGCCCAATTTCAAGGTAAATTGATGTGCTCCAATAAAGACAAGGACACAGAAAGACGGTACAGGGACAGGCACATGGTGAAAAGCCATATTATGCTTGAAAAATCCAAGGTTCTGTAAAGGAGAGCCAACTAGGGGTATTTCACGCTATCCGCGAACTTCGATACATGAAGTGTTGCGCCTATTTTAATTCAGTGTACATTGACGTTGGAGCGTTGTGTTCGAAAATGATTCGATATAAATGATAATTTCATTAACTCGTGCTTGTCATATACGGTTCGACTGTAGTAAACTTCAACTCGGGTAAGACAACTAAATACATCGCAACTATATACAAGGATTAAGTCAATCGAACGTGAAAGAGAAGCATATATATTTTACGCATAAAAGCGTATCTATGAAACAGCACAATACTATATACGCAGCATACGTGTGACAAAAGTAGCACTAAAGTAGCGAAGTTGCAGCTATAAGTTTTTTTTTTTACGACACTAGCATTTTTTCAACACACACATGAAGAGATTTCAATAATTATGATCTCGCTGAATTTGATAAGTCAAACTTTCTCTAACGTGACGAAACTCTAATTGCACAGTTCTAGAGTTCCGCTGTCCCTATAGCCTTGACGTTGAACTATTGAACTAGTGGCTTCACTTTCTGTTACAGAATGCAAGCCGCAGCCAGCACACAAAAGGATACTCGCAGTACGACACGTTCCGGCATAGACTGCCTTTGCTGCACATCACGCTGGAGTCGTGCAGCCGGCATTCAATGCTGCAGCACGGGCCGGCCGACGGACTGCGACCGAGATCGAAAGCACAATGTGTGACCACACCGTCACAAACTATTTCACATTTGCACCCTTTTTCGGGTTCAAGAGCATTGGGGTTAGTCCAGCAGGTCAATAGAAGCGTGCAAAAAACATTAGGCCACATTTAGGAGCACTTGTTATGTGGCTGATTGATGTATAGCCCTTCCCAAAAGTAGGTTAACCTTTTAACTCACAAACATTGCCTGTCCTGCTGCGTATGCAGCAGAGTACCGAAACAATCCCGTATCGATTCCCCTGTTGTCAAGAACGAGTATCCGCAAGCAGTTATCTCAATCAAACAGTCTAAACCAACACTAAAAACATACATTATGCTGCCTTCTGGAGATAATAGCGTTGTGGCTCATATTTATTTATTTATTTATTTATTTATTTATATTTTTTGTTGTTCGTTAATTTATTTTTAAAGACTGATTGATTGATATGTGGGGTTTAACGTCCCAAAACCACGATATGATTATGAGAGACGCCGTAGTGGAGGGCTCCGGAAATTTAGACCACCTGGGGTTCTTTAACGTGCACCCTAATCTGAGCACACGGGCCTACAACATTTCTGCCTCCATCGGAAACGCAGCCGCCGCAGCCGGGATTCGAACCCGCGCCCTGCGGGTCAGCAGCCGAGTACCTTAGCCACTAGACCACTGCGGCGGGACCTTTTTTTTTACAATGAGATCAAGACAAGGGAAGGCGGTTACAGCAGCAATAACAATATCAAAAAAAAAACAATTACAATCGTTCACAAAGTAACACAATGACAACATAAATAGCGATACATTCAAACAGCAACTGATTACAGGAAGTTGTCCAACAATGCGCAATGAAAACATAGATGCAAATATGAGTTAAATACAGGTTACACAACATACACGCATTTAAATAGAAACAGAAGAGTTAAAGAGAAAGAACTGGTGCATTGAACAAATTCAAAATATGTGAATGGTTAATTCTTTAATATATATTGCTACATACCAGTGACATCAAGATGAAGAGGACAAAGTACCAGACTGGCGCGAGCTAATCTGTATCGCTGGCGCTGCTTGCTTAACTATCTGTGCAGATATATCTGCGTCTACTCCTCTGAGTCTCTCCCCCTCATTACGATATAGGCACCCGACAATGCAGTTTACGAGATCTGATGGTAGCGCCAGCACACAGAGCCTAGCGGCTAGGTGCCGCAAAACCGAGTGTTCCCATGCGTAGCCTAGCGAGTAGACGCAGCAAAATCGGACTTGCACGTAGAATCATTTTCTTCTTTAGTTGTGAGCAAGTGGGTCACGGCCGATTATGTAAGCGCCCAGGAAGCGTACTTTGGAAACGTGCCAAAAAGGGCACTGACACTTCAGCGTGTCACTGTGTTCAGCGAGCGTTCCATTTTCTTAGTATCCCTGGCGGTCGGTACCAACAATGGTGAGGCGGCCCAGAGAGCTTCGTTGCACCCTCTGGTTCACTGTCGGGTCCCTATAACCACCAGATAGGCAATAAGAGCTTGCGGGCATATCCGCAGTGGATTTAACGAATTTGTTGTGAAGTTCAATTGTAAGAGTCAATTTGACGATACCAGAAAGTACAGTCTTGAACACTACCCTGGCTTCACCTGCGCCTTAACAAATGTGCAGCATCATTATAAAATCTGCAGACAGTTACGTTTTACCAGGCGTAAGAGTATATACAGCCCTCTACGATTGAAACACGATTCTCGAAGCACGTAGTTGTACCGGATGAAACGATAACTGCAGACTGTGCACCGAACAGAGTCACTACGAGTCACAGACGCCCTCACCATCACTCACACCGCCAGCCGTCGCGTGTTTCGAAGAAGACTTTTTAGTCGCCGAGAGCACGGTACAGTCGTCAGCAAGCTTAACACGAACGCTCCAACGCGTGACCTCGACTAGATTGTCTGATGCCAGCCGCAAAGCGCTGTGCGCTGTTGCCGTGATTACACTTCAGTATGCTTGAATAGTATGTTGGCACGGGTAACATCTCGTTAGTAGAACTGAAAACTTCGCGGCACTGGCGTTCATCAAACAGTTTCAGGACACGCTTTGGAGCGTTCTTGTAGAGCATGCTCACGGCTGTAAGTGGTCTTGAATGTGAACGGGATGGGAACCTGCAGTCCTTGCCCTTGCGCAGCGTGCATCCGGGTGCACCGAGCGCATTGTGGCGTGGGTAACAGCAGTTCTCCTGGCAGTCGTTGGCGAAGAAGCCAGCAGTCGCAGTCTTCGTTCTCTTCCACGATATCGTTGCCGCAGATGGGGCCACTGTCCACTGCGTGCCAATATACAAAAAACAAGCATGGAATCTTTAGAAGAGGAGCCCCCGCATTTATTATATTTGCTACACTTACATAAAATTGTTTTATTGTTAATATTTATGATACACCTGTATACATGAATCAAACAAAACAATGGTAGTCATTGAGCTGAATTACTCGAGTAGAAACATTACCTGGACTTGTAATAATAAAGCACATTCCACTAAGCAGCTAAATTCATTTCCTTATGTGAGGCGTGTTTGGTAAGAGATACGGAATTTTCCTGGCCGTAATCGACCAAGAAAAAGGCATTGCGCGTGGCTTCACTGTCGAAAACACAAATGGCCTCGGCAGAGCTGAGGCGAAGCCTCAGTCAATGCAAAGAGCGTGGTTTCGCGAAGCAGAGTCAGAGCTGATTCCAAGTTTCTCACGGTACCTCAACTCACTCTGATTAAACTGTAATTGCATTTATACTCTATTGCTTTACTGTGCTTTATCACTTAACTTCAACATGCTTTAACCGCACCAGGAACGGAGAAAGACAATGAATGGGAGGTGAGGCGTGCTTTCAGAAGATGCAATTCCATACAGTCAGCGTCTTCACAGTTGACAGAAACTGAAGTTGCGCAATAATCATTCGCACGAGCTCACCCTGGAAGCAGTTCTCGCGGTTGCTTCGACCTTCGAACATCGGTTTGAGGACGTCGGTAATATTGCGTATGCTGCAGGGCGAGAACTTGTCGTTGTTGAACTCGGAGCCCTTGGTCGCCGTAGGGAACATGAGGTAGTTGCCGCGAACGCCGCAAGGGGCGCACGCACCGAAGCAGCTGACACCAGGTGGCGAATCATGCTGCAGATAATGCAGTTTTGAAAAACAAGAATGTCGCAAATATATATACGATTAGGCATGAGAGTTCGCGAGAGCACCGGTATTGTTTAAGACAAGGCTAACATACACAAGATACCTGACGCTACGCTGCGATTTATGAGAAAACTCATTCCCCGAATCGACTCAAATGCTACCTGTGTTAGCAGTAGTTCGTGTTGGTTAAATCATGAATAATGTTGACGATAGCGTTGGCCAGCGCGGCTTAACTGCCGTATAATATTGCCTGACCTTTTCTAACTGCTGGCTAAGCCGAACTAGTGAAGAATCTCATTTATGTAAACAATTATCATGCATCAACAATACGGGAATCTGAGGGCCCTGCTTCCTTGTTTGTCGAGAAATAGACGCCATTGCGGAAATATACTGCTTGGCGCACCGCATGCACACCAGAGGCTTTGGCTACGGCTTCCATTCATGAACAAGTCCGTTCTTTCGTCCACTTTTGTTTTCACGTACCTTAGATCCTACAGTTAAATAATCTACAATTACGTACCCACACTTTAATTAAAAACAGCCAAATGCGTCTCCTACGCCTTGCTTAGTTTCGTTCTCTGTCAAATTCATATAGTTCATCCTCGTTTTGTGGTCATCCGTAGGCAGCACCTCGGCGTGCAGTGACCGAAACAGTAAAATCAAGCTCTTGTGCACTCACGGGCTGATCCGAAGTTGTGTCCGATCTCGTGACAGAAGGTGAGTTCGGAGACAGCCTGCGACACCGGGCTATTGTAGTTGAGGAACGTTAGGACGCCCGAGTTGAGGCTCAGGTAGAACTGGCGGAACTCGGTCGTGCCGGGATCCTGGTCCACGGACGGTCGGTTCTTCTCGCAGATGCCGCCCTTGACCCACTGCGAACCATGCGGTTTAATAGCGCTGCGTCAAACTCTGGCGATGCCATGAGGTACACTCTCACATTATTGCAGTGTCACAATTTATATTTAGAAACGTGGGTTTACCGTCCACTATCAGGATATTGCAGTGTAATAGCCTCTTTTCTTAAGACGCCGGGTTTTTAAAGAAAATGGTATTTTATAGTTGGGTTAACTGAATAAAACTTACTATATTTATTCAGTTTTGTCTGCGGATTCCATATCTTAAAATAGATTTTTATTAGCTTCAATACAACAAAGCATATCCAGTTTGTGAAAGCATACTTTTTACGATGCTATTTGGCAACTTTGCTTTGTACAGCACAAAAACAATGTATGTCGCAAAATAGCCAGAAGGATGGTGCGGCCAGTGATCCTCATAGGATTCTTTTCAAGGAACCTCCAATGCAATATAGGTGGATCGAAATATGAGTAAACCTTTTTATATAAGTACAGTTTATGATTATCGTGAATTACACTTTAATGTACTACAATATAAAAAAATAAATAGAATCGCCGGCTAGAGCAGTTTTGTGCTATTCTGGCCACACATTGTTTTCGTGTTTGACAAAATGATATTGACAAAAATCTTCGCGAAAGTACGCAATTAGAACTTGGTAGAACTGGATTCTTTTTTATCTAAAACTATTAAAATCTAATCCTATCGAATGCTATAAAATCTACTGAGACTATTGCAATCTGCATAAAAATTCGAATGCGCATAATAAGTCTCATTGCGTTCAAACAAGTACATAAAAAGGCACTTTTAACGACTAATGATTCACTAACAAAGAAGTTTTAAACCACATCTCGTGCTTGATTAAAAATACTAATAAGCCTTACGAAAAGCTGACATACCATGAACAACGCAGCCTAATCTTCCAATCGTGCGTGGGAAGTAGAGTTTAAAAATGGGCCGCAAAGTTGTTAAATGCGAAGCATTTCTTAGCGAACTTCAGCGACATTGAGCGTATCTATCTATCTATCTATCTATCTATCTATCTATCTATCTATCTATCTATCTATCTATCTATCTATCTAATCTAGCTATCTATCTATCTATCTACCTTGACGCCTACGACTTTTAGCTTTCCTGGCCGTTTCGATAATGGTATCGATACCAAACTTGGTATGGCATAGTACATGACTGTATGAAAAACATATTCGATTAGTCATAACATGAAAATAATGATATTTATGTCATGAATATCATGATTTACATTTCATGGTCCTGCAGCTCTTGCGGTGGTTTCGTTCACGTGGCATGTTGCAAAACTGGTATGGTATGGTTGCAAAACTGGCTAATGTTAGGCGTATGAGCGCCCCTTTCCTTGCGACTAAGTTGAAAGCGATGCGCGCTTGGCCCGATTACGGTATCGCGGTCTGTACTCCTGAAGGCGAAGCGTCCTCCAAGTTTAAGTCATGGTGCACTACACTGTTGAAAGGTATACGTATACTTTAGGGCTGCCATAATGCATAATGCAGCTCACGTTGCGATCTGGCAATCCAAGCGAGTCCCAGGATTCCGTCAGCGAAGTCTCGGAAGGTCCAGGTGTAGGCCAAACAGAAGTCGTCATTGTTCTCCTTCGAGGTGAGGTGAAGCAAGTAGGCCGCGTCTATTCCATCTGAGCAGAACGGGTTGCCCTTTTTGACGCCCTCGGCACAGCTACGGCTGTCGTTGATCTGCGCAAGAGTGAAGTTTGTCGTCCCCACTCATTTCTAGTTAATGCGCTGATTAGCGTTGTTTAGTGGTATACGAGGACAACGGAAACGCAATCAAGTTCGAGGTATACAGTTGTGCGTTCATTAACATCTATTGGAAGCGCCGCTGTCAACATACACGCGTGCAGGGATGAAAGGCCAAACAAAATGAGCGTTGCAACGAAACCTTCGCCTTAAAGCAAAGAAAGGGGGCCAAGTTTGCAGTAATGGTGTGAAACGTACGAAACAACGAAGCTGGTTGACCTTAGGAGCTTCACGTGGTCCACTTGGCTCGTGCTGCCTCTCCTCGACGTAGACAAAGCAAAGTCGAAACGCAACCTGTCACTGACCATGCGAGAATGTCTAAATTCCAGTGACACAACTAACGTGCAAAGTGCTTTCACGGCTGTCGCATCCCCGGTACAAGCGTGTGCCTTTCGTAACTCGCATCAACGGCTTACGTGTTCGGCAAACGCGGTGCGGCTGGCGGCTGCGCGGTTGATAAAAAGCGGTGCGTTAGAAGCAGACACCCAACGTTTTACATTATTAAGCTTCAAGGGCTTCGCACTCATAGGGGCCCTGAAACACTTTTCCAAGTAACCATGAATGGGTACACCAACAGAGCCTAATTGCCTCACGATTTCACTGCTGCAAAAGTCTTAAGAATCTGTACAGTACGAGCGGAGTTACAAAGATTTGTCGCACGCTGCTATCGCATTCTCCCCTTTCTCGAACTGACGAAAGCACTGAAAGAAAAGCAGGGAGGGATGGCATGGGCAAACGAAACACGTCACGTGGGCCTTGTGGCTATGGTGACCTTGAGCGCTTTTTTTTTCTTTTTTGAATGCGCGGCTTCTTTATTTTGATTGAGCGCGCAAGCGTGTACAAGTCGCAGCTTCCCGCTGTAATCTCTGTAATGAGCGAGCGCGCCATCTTCACATCAGCCAGTGGCTGATAGAAGGCAGTTTACGAGTGTTTTTTTTTTATTTTTCCTTCTTTTGTCGGGAAAAAAGAAATTATTTTTAGGTGACTTCAATAATTTATTGTGAATTCCAGGTCATGTCCTGCGCTATAATATTTGGCCCACTCGTTCTCGGGAGCCTCTACTACCGATTCAGCGTTTTCTTACCTTGCTCAACAAGTGTTGCAGAGCCCCTTCATGAGCGCAGCAATCAATTAAGGGATGAGTGAAGCAATTAACGCTTTAGCAACAAACTGCGATGTTAAATCGCATAATGCTAGCAGCCATCTTGTTAATAATTCGACAATCATGTTGCTACGGTATACGCTCATGTAAGAAAACGCGGCTGCTGCGTCGAGTGAAGTGACAGTCATGTCTATCGCTCCAACGTAGACAGAGTGGTTAGAACACAGCACGTACAAAAGTTTGAACCCACTGCCGATCTCAACGATTCCTGTCGGAGCCACGCAGCCCTCCCTCCAGTACTACCCATGTGGCTTGCGCGTAATAAAAGACGGTTAGCTCGTTTCTTATCCGCTCGAGCCACCTTCGTTGGCAGCTCAGTTCACACGCTTTAAGAAGCCCGTAGAGCATACCACGTGTGAGGTGATTTGTCGCCCTAGGTACATTACCCGGATCTTCAAGGCTATGCTGACGGCGACGGCGAAATTGGACCTAAGGTAGTCATATCATTTCCATCGCAAAAAAAAAGGGGGGGGGGGGGAGGGGTATTCACATACGTGTTTAAGGTCCGAAGGAATACAACCGACTTCAAACTTTTAAGGCACAACGCACGCTTATGAAGAGTTCGGCAATCTTTCTCATCAGTCGGCAAATTAAAACTCACTAGGGCTCAAATATGGCCGTTAGTGTAAGTCTAAGGAAGTTTTTCTAAATACTATATTTGTGACTTTGGGTCATAATGTGTTTGGTTGAGAAAAGCTTTAGTGAGTCTGAGTCCGGCTGAGGAAAAGCGTCGTGAATATGAATTTGGGTGAGTCTGAGAAAAAGTCTGGGGATTCTGAGTGCGATTGAGCCTTAAGCAACAAATATATTTCTTTGAGTGAGTGAGTGAGTGAGTGAGTGAGTGAGTGAGTGAGTGAGTGAGTGAGTGAGTGAGTGAGTGAGTTAGTGAGTGAGTGAGTCCCGCCTTCTGCCGATCTTATCAGGCCCATTCAGTTACCCCACGCTCTTCTTTATTCGAACTGACCCTGATCTTCTGGACGATGAAGCTGATGTCCTGGATGCCTCCAAAGCTGGTGCGCCGATAGACGGCGCTGGCGCGGTTCACGTGTGACGCGATCAGCGCCGTGATGCGGGCGCGCGTACGCGATGGATTCTGCTCCCCTCTGTAGATGTGCTCGTACAGCAGGTGGTCCACGGACACCTTCAAGTTGCACACGCGCCGAGAGTAGACGGGCAATATGCGCCCCGACGCGTTGCCCGTCCCCTCCACGTCCAAAGCGTGCGTCAGGCAGCTTGGTTTTGCCGCGGTTCTTGGAAGATGCCCTGCCGTTCGCGTTTTAGGACTCGCCGTCCAGCGCTGGACTGTGTCCCGACGGATGACGGACCTGGAAGGAGTAATATTTTGCTAGTTATGAGCAAACTGGACTAACCGAGGAAAAAGACACAGGTTAGCTTGTGCTCGCATTGCAGAAGGGTAGCACAATGGTTGTCTACATTTGCAGTTGCACTAAGGCCGTTCTTATCTTGTTAGACTCAATTGCACCAATATTATCACAGGCTGTAACATCCAAAATACATATAAATTGCGCTTCCAGGCACATATTAAGCAGGGCTTGAACCTGCAATTTCCAACTCAGTTTCCCAACGCGGTAGTCAGTGAAGTCATCGCATACAGTTTCCCGTTTCGCAATGCAAGGTGGCCGACGGAACTTCGCTCCTCAGACATCAAAACATGCAGCGATAACGTGAAGTGCAGGTTAAACATTAAGTTGTGTGCCAGAGGCTGCCTTTTCAAACAGTATGTACGACTGTCGGCTTTCCATAAAGGAAGTCGCAGCTGTGTCACACATCGGTCATACAGCGCCTGTGCGTCAGGCTTGCTCTTCAAAGATCACAAACTTGTCCCGCTAAGTTATCCACTACAAAGAAAAGACCTAAGCGTCAGCCTGGTCAAGAAGATCAGCAGTGGCTGAACACGGGAAGCATCAGTGAATTTATAGGCGGGAACTTTTCGGTGGCTTCTGCAACAGCCCACAAACAAGTAAGTCTCAGTTCGCCGACTGTTGATCGATACACAACTCCACATTGAGGCGAGCCTTATGACTGTCTCTTTTGGAACCTGATTCATGCAATACATGCGTATCTCGATCGTCACCGTTGTAAATTGTTTTTGTGTAATATTCCGGGACGAGATTACACTTACGAAAATAATAAAGTGGTGACAGTACTACCGTCTCGTGTTCATATTATAATGTTCATACGATGCAAGCGCATTTGCAGATGTTTCTCATGACGTCCGAAGTGAATGCGTTTTCGCATCTAAGTCAAGCCCTACAGCAGGCCGTACAGAACTCGACTTCTCGCGTTCTTCTGTACACCAGCTGGCGAATAGAAGAAACTAAACGAAAGTACAAAAGAAAGCAGGAGCTCAAGGGCCCTACTGTTTGGTGATACCAGTCTTCAGGCACGGCCCATGCGCATGATTACCTTAGGTTGAGTGGCACGTTGCGCCGCGGCAGTTGCAGCGAGGTTAGCGCGGCTCTTCATCACCGAATCCATCCAGCGTTCTGTTTCTCCGCGCACTCCGCACCAGCCGCCAGGCGCGCCGGTGTCCGGAAAGCGCGCGTCCCTGGCGTCGTAGAGCACCGAGTGGAAAGGCTTGGGTCCTGAGAAGAACCGTCGCGCGTTCTCCACGTAGTAGCGACCCGACCTCGACTGGATGGCGCCGTGGAACACGCCGTCCACCAGGGCGCCGTACACGTGGCTCGATGGCTCGCCTGTCGAATGCAAACGGGATATGGTTCACGGGTACAGCGTTGTACGTGAATGACAGGACGCGAGGTGATTGGTGCAACACGCCTCCGAAATAACGCGTAATACACAACAGTCGAGAAAAAATAATCTGGCCACGCAATGCGAAGGCACATTTGCAAATAAAGGTAGATTCACACGAGGCAATGGAATAGCAACTTTCACAGCAGACGGCGCATCACGTACCGTGCGCGTCATCGAAACTTGCCGTCCTCGCTTGATCCGCTCTTCTCCGCTCGCGGGACGAATGGAAATGTGTCACCACTATATCGATCCTTCTGTTTGATGGTCGTCTGCCCTCAATCGAGAGGATTGAGCGTCAAATCTGTGAACATTGGTCGGATTGGCTTGGCTAAGAAGCAGGCTGCCGGCTTAAAAGCACCGTACTTTAGTTTTTTGGCAATGAGCAAATGTGTTTCGTGTGGCAGTGGAAAGGCAAGTGGTTTTTGGTCGCATAAGCGGGCTGCATAGACGTCAGACTCTACCCAGGCGGCGCTGTGAAAAACGCCGCCATCAGCGCCCCCCATCGACGTGCTGGCCATAAATGGGTAGTGCAAGCGAGCCGTCCGCAGGCGAACAACGTTACTAGTAACGTTGCAAGCGAACGTCCATTGGCCCCCCTCTTTCGTTGGCCTTGAGGCGCGCTTTCCTGAAAATCAAAGACCTGGCAAGCTTATTACTTCTGTCCAATCTCGCTTAAGAAAAGTGTGAAGCTCATCAAAGCATTCTGTAGGTACAATGCGGAAGATCTTTCTGTTGATTCGGCGAATAAGTATACAAAATGTACTAATAGCAGGAGATTTTAATGCGAAAAGCCATAGCTGGGGGTGAGACAAATTAGATGATAGCGGGGAATGAGTAATAGTGTTTATAATAAAAAATAAGTTAACCATTTTAAACGATAATAAAAGTGAACCTACATTTCAAACTCGAGGGGCAAAAGTTGGATTGATTTATCCATCAGTTCAGACAACCTAACTAGGAAAATTAAGACGTGGAAAGTGGTAAACGAACCGTCATATAGTGATCACAAACTGCGAGAATGTCTAAATTCAAGCGACACAAAGCGCTTTCATGGCTGTCGCATCCCAGGAATATATGCCTTTGGACTTGCCTTTGTGAAATGGATTCTTATTTTTATTGCCGCCATTTGTATCTGCATTTTGTATTTTAGTTTTATTGATGTTTATTGTTATATTGTTTATTGTTTTCTCTTCACTTATGATACCCACTCCTCATGTAACATCCCTCAGGACCCTTGAGGTACCACATAAATAAATAAATAAATAAATAAATAAATAAATAAATAAATAAATAAATAAATAAATAAATAAATAAATATTCGAAGAGTCCAAATCACAAACGTTCAAAATAACTAAAACAGGAAAACAGAAAGCATTGACAGATTTACGAAGTATCAATTAAAAACTAGAGTCACGAAATCTTCGTAGGACACAGAAAATCTAGTACAAAAATTTTATCAGACTGTTGAAAATTTACATAAAAATATGAAAAACGTATTACAAAAGATAAGAAAGAGGAGAAGAGCTGGTGGAATTTGGAATTCGAAATCCAAAGGAAAAAAAGTTAGAGCAATGGAAACACGGTTCAAAAGAAGCAGAGAGAGGAAATAAGAGAAAATTTAAAAGAACAATATTACGAACATAAATTATATGTAGATAACATTGCACAGGCGAAAAAGGAAGATTGGGATACCTGCCTTGCAAAAGTGACAAAAAATCCCTTTAATTTGGGATAAAAACTAGCTAGGAATCAAATCAGAAAAGCAGTTATCATAAAAAGTATGTTAAAAGAAGATGGTACATCAACGAAGTCCCTATCAGAAACTGCAGAAAATATCATAAGTGAACTTTACGAAAGTGCAGAAGAGAATGAAGTAAACGAATCAAAATTAGAAGAGTTGGAAATAAACAATTACTTAGAAGATGACAAGGAATTTACCCACCAGGAAGTAAAAACAATCATTAGATATCTAAAAAAAGGAATTCCTCCAGGACCAGAAAACTTAACAACAGAATTCATTCAAATAATAAATCAAAAGAAAAATAATCTCTTTGTAAACATTTTTAACAGTTGCTTGAAATTTGGATATTTTGCTAAAGAGGGGAAAATATCAAAAATGATTTTAGTACCGAAAAAGCGAAATCAAAATATTCCCTCAGACTTTAGACCAATCGCAATAAATTTAATGTTTGGAAAAATACTAGAAAGCTTACTGAAAGATCGGTTATATTACTCCTTGAACAAAAATTAACTACTACTTAAAAATCAATATGGGTTTAAACATGGCAATTCAACAACACACGCGTTGGAGAACATAAAGAAAAAGGTAGATCAAACTATTCTGGATAAAAATGTAGCTTTAGTTATATCCATGGATACCAAAAACACATTCAATACCATTGACAAAAAAGAAATAATCAGGTACTTAGAAGCAAACAATTGTCCAAAAAATTTAATAAAATAACCGATGCAGTTATGACAAATCGAAAAATTGTATACAGAAATGAAGATACTGAAATACTGTATCAAATAAAGAAAGGATCTCCACAAGGGTTCCCATTAAGCCCATTACTATGGACCATAATGATAGCTCAAGTACTTAGGAAAAAATATCAAAAAAAAAACATTCGTGCAAGCATTCGCCGATGTCAAAACATTAATAATTAAAGGAACCTCAAAAAGAAACTTACAAGATAAAGCTAACCGAACACTAAGTATATTTATTACACAAATTGGGGCAAGAAAAAAGATTGAATTTGATGCAGCGAAAACAGAATTAATGGTTGTTAAAGGAAAATATTCACAAAGCTCACCAATACTTAAACTAGCAGAGGACACAATAAAAATGATACAACAAATGAAAATATTAGGAGTAATAGTGAATGAAAAATTTTCCTTTCTTCCTCAATTAGACTATATTAAAGAGAAAATAATTGACTTAACCATCAATTTAAATAAATTCACTGGTAAGAATAGAGGTATCAAAAATAAACAACTTAGAGAAATATATACAAGAGGAATGGAAAAAATAATAACTTATGCAGCCCCAATATGGTATAAAAACATAACTACGGTAAATAAAAAATTAAAATCAATACAACGGAAATCATTACTATCAATAACTAAAGCCCATAAAACAGTTTCGAACAACGCATTGAACGTTTTAGCCAATGTACCTCCGGTACAGCTAAGAATAGAGAAAGAAATAGAAATTTATAATATCATGAATAATGGAAAACAATTTATCTCGAACGATATAATATTTGACGCAGACTCTATTTCTAAAAACATTGACAAGTGAAAAATTCATCCTTCAAAAAGACTAAGGTTTAAGTTCGATAAAGAGTTGAAACAAATAACAGAGTATAAAATTTATACAGATGGTTCATGCAATGAAGCTGGAGTGGGCGCTGCTTCTGTAGTTATGAAGGAGAAAAAAATAGTAGATACTAAACAATTCGCATTACCAAAATATAGCAACAACTTCAAGGCGGAAGCAATAGCAATAGCAAAGGCAGTAGAGTACATCACTTTACAATAAAATCGAAGCACCTATCATTTGTTGACAGACAGTTGTCTGTGCTCCAGGGCATAAACAACTCAGAAAATCTTAACCCCTATATATTTAAAATCAAACAATTGCTGTACAAAGCAACACTAAACAATAAAATCATTCTAACTTATATAAAAGGACATAGTGGAAACATTGACAATGAGGCCGCAGACAAATTGGCAAAAAAAGGCAATAAGATATGAAGAAGGAGTAGATATCCAAAACTCAAAAAAAAATTATCAAAAGATCTTTACCGAAAAAATTATATAAAAATGGGAACAACTGTGGGCACAGGGTAAAATCTCTAGACGAAGTTACATACATAATTGGATACAGCTTGTTAACCAGATTCAAAATCATTTCACCTCAAACTATCAAATATCACAAATTTTAACAGAACATAGAAGGTTCCCTCATTACTTGCTTAGGTTCGGTATTAGAAGAAATAGGCTCTGCCCCTGTATTATAGAAGAAATAGATCTGCATCATTATTTTAAGGAATGTAAATTGACAGAAAAACAGAAAAATGTTGGAGAAGTTGTGTAAAAACGCCACAAGAAAGTATGAACTCATTGATAATGTACAGGCCATGGCGGTTCTAGAGGAGATGGTGGTCATCATAAATAGTAAATTGTAACTAAAAGAATATATAAATTAATTGGGCGAATGGAAAAACAGAAATCAAACTAAAATAACAATAACAAAAAAAGAAATTGCAGAGTGCGATTCTGTCAGAAAGAAAAGATAAAAAAGAAAAAAACAGAAATCAGGGAAGAAGAAAAAAAAAGGGACCTATCGGAAAAAGGACAACAACACCGGGAGAAATATAAGTCCACCTTTTTTTTTCCAACACAAGAGAGAGGGAAGACACAACACCGAGACTCAACTACATCAACCATAATTGGTTCCAAAACACAGGAGGTCAGCAGAGACTGGAGAATCACTAGTAAAACCAAAGCCTCAGATTTCAGGCTCGCTTACTCCATCCTCCTGTCTCGGTACCACATACCCCTCTCAAATAAGGCCTCCATATCTCCCTTCAGCTGCCAATATCTGAGAAGGGATGAGGCAACTTGGAGTGTCGACAGCAAAGCCTCCTATGGTGGCAACTGACGGCATTCATATCTCCCTTCAGCTGCCAATATCTCAGAAGGGATAAGGCAGCTCGGAGTATCGACAGCAAGGCCACCTATGTTGGCAACTGATGGCATCAAAAGCATCGCCATAAACCATCTAAAACCCCGATCTCTACCAACCGCTTTTTCGAACAGGGGCCTCATATGTCCTACTACACTAAAAGGACTCTCGTCACTGGCATGTTCGCACCCTGGAATTCAAAATAGCTATATTTAGGGGTACACAGGTATATATATATATATATATATATAT